TTTTTTGCATTTGATTTTTTTTGGGAAGGTGTGTTTTTATATCGTCAATTTTATTTTTATAAATTCTGCATTCTTTTAACAGCTATTATAACTACTAACTTTAATGACAACAAACCCAAGTAATATGGCAAAAGAGCCTAGCTTCAACTTTATTAAACATAATGAGATTGCTTTTATAACAATAGTACTAAGAAAAAAAACAGTTAATACTAAACTGGCTAGCCATACAAAATCTCAGAAAACTCAAAGCAAAATTTTTTAAAATCTAAAAACCAATACTAAAAGATCTATTTCCTAGTATAGCTTACAAACTCTATAATTTTTATAATTAAAATTGCTATATTAAAAACTCTTTCTAGTTTATCTCTGAAAATATATTCAAAATCAAAATTTTACTAAGAAACTTATTTTTTATCTTTGATTCTTCTAATGAGACAAAAACCTTAGATTCAGAAAACACAAACTTATTACTTTAGATATAATAAGCAACTAAACAACAAAATAACAAAAATTTTGACTTTACAAAAGTTGAAAAAAATATCAGAACTAAATAATAACAGTGATAACAATAGCAGCCTTAAGTTAAAAACAAATATGTCTTTGGATATGAACACCAATAAGCTTAATGCAAGCTGAGCTAACCAAGCCAAAGAACAAGTAAATTCAAAAAAAAACTAAACCAAAAGTCCTTATAATCAACAAGAAGCACATGCTGATTCTTTAAGCACAATGAACTATGTAAACACAACAAATGTTGTAAACAACAAACAAGAACATGTGAACTATGTATTATAAGTAAACAACAAACAGGATGAATTACATGTATCAAGCAACAACTAATCAGAATCTTCAACTCACAGAGTTGCAGATACCTCCAATTCTAGAAGGACCAACAGTACAGACTCAAGGCCAAAACAATGGTCAAACCTCTTTGCTAAGCTCAAAGGAGGACAAGCACAACAAACTACATAAACACAACAAATGTTGTAAACAACAAACAAGATCATATAAACTACATATCATAAGTAAACAACAAACAGGATGAATTACATGTGTCAAACAACAACTAATCAGAGTCTTCAACTCACAGAGTTGCAGATACCCTCAAACTAGGCAATTCTAGAAGGCCGAAACAATGATCAAACCTCTTTGCTAAGCTCAAAGGAGGGAAAGCAATAAAGATGATTTGCCATAAATTGTAACAAATACGTACATCAAATATGTGTCATATGTAATAATAAATTCATCAATGACTGCACTGAGTACAGGATAGTTTCTATGTATATACAGTGCTTTTACCAAAGTATAAGCAACATTTATATTAATAAATTCATCTTGATTGTAAATATTAGCTACTATATGTGCACTTTTATTGACTATTATATTCATTTCAATGACTATTCTTCGAGTGGAATTTTCATCGGAATCGCCGGAATTGGAAAATCTGGAAGTCCAGCGAGTTCCACACTCCACTTGACATCTTTTCCGTGATGAAAGTTTATAGTCGATTCTTACTTTACAACCCTTATTTCCATGCATCTTGTAAATGATGTGTATTTTTTTTAATTACTGCCCTTAAACGGTGCTCAAGCATTTCAGCTTCACGTCTAGCATTTGCCACCTGTCGTTCAAGGTCTTCAACAGAGACTGCGGTGGTTTTAACCCCGTTGGAGGTATTGGAATTTGAAGATTGTGCGGAATTATTCCATGGACTAGGATCACCGTTCATCATTATTGGAGAACCTGGGGAATTGTTGTCTGAAGAACCAAATAAGGGGGAAGCAGATGAGAATGATGTTTGTAAATTGAAAATGGATGATGCGTTGAAGTTGAAAT